CCTTTTATACAGAAGGTGAATGGTTCCTGGAGAAAGTTGAACACTTAATGGCTTTGTGTGCTCATTGGTAAAAAATAACTGCAGTGTGTGAAATTCAGTTTGGAAGTCACTGATGTCCTGAGCTACACAAGGAGCGAAAGACAATGGCATCATCTGCATACAGATGAATCTTTGCTGCTTCTGTGTCAGCGACTTTAGTTCTGGTGCAGATAAACTGGCATCGCCTCTCCCATGTCGTCTCTGTAGTGTTTCACTGTATCATCTGTGCTCAGGCTAAATGGTGGTGGTGAACCCAGTCACCCTGCAGCCTCCCTCCATTAAACAGATGAGTGATGATGAGAGGACAGAGTTCAATGAACACACCGCTGACTCTCTGAGCTCTTAGTCACCCGATCTTTCAGCTAACTGAGTTAGCTGCCACTTTGCTAATGGAGTTAGAGAAGATGAAGAGGGCGAGGTGCAGGAGAAGCTCCTCCATTTGTCCTCGCTCAGCATCAGTTTTCAGCCAGCACCATACTTCCTCTGCACAGCTTCTCTCGTCCTCAGTGTTCGTGTTGGATCTAGTTTAGACGGAAATGTGGTAGTAGTAGTTGCATTTTGCTTTTTGATTTTAGTCACAAAACTAAAGGCGTGTTGGTCTAGTTTCACTGACACCAGTCTTATTATCCTGCATCTTTAATTATTGTACTGTATCTTAATATTTTGAAGCTCTAGCTCTCTCCATCTTTGTGGTGTTCAGTTACCATGGTTACAGGCGTCTCCATCTTTTCTGTGCAGTTTTCTGGTTCCACCTTGAATCAGATAATCAAGACAATAAGCAGCAGTTTAATCAGTGACCCCTGCAGTTTGTATTTCCATTGTTTGTAGATACACCTAAAACAAGTCCCCACAACCCCAAGTGGAACCTGGCATAGCATAGCGAACACCTCTGGTCAGGTGCAGCATCTTCGTCTAACTGTGGAAAGAAGAGAGCGCCACCTAGAGTCTGAACCGACATATTCGCTTGGGTGTTTTTGTGTCTAAATCCTGCAGTTAGTTTGATCCAGTGGGTTTTTAGTTGGAGGCCAAGAAACAGTGAATCAGCTCGTCACAAACGTGAATCACAGTGTTGCATTTTTCAGTGAGAGCTGTGATTAACCAGCACGGAGCAGCCAATCAGGACGAGCAGTGAGAAGCCAAATCAGTCAGTTCACACCCCATTAACAAAGTCCAAATTAGCACTGTTGATTGCACCCCCACTGCAACTTCAGTGGTGGTGTTTGTTGAACCACATAAAGTTTGTTGAGCTGGTTCTGGGAGAGCAGTGGTTGATCATTGGTGTCCAGCAGGGAGGCGTTAGTGCAACGCCTCGCTGTGCCTGTTCTGTTATGGCGATGGCAGCAACAGTGTGATGGAGGAGCTGCGACGGACACTTGTCTCTGATCCACTCGACAGGTTTTGCACTTTGTTCACTTTCTGCTGGAGAAGTTTCACTGTGTAAACACCAGGTGTTAGACAGAGCCGCCAGGTTATTTAAAAAAAAAACTGCTACAACGCATAAAAACAACTTCTGTGCTTCCAGGTTGTGGGAAATCCTCCTCCAGCACAACACTTTGTCTCTTGTGGGAAACAGCTGCAGCACATCTAGACTGAACTCCATCATTAATATCTACAGCTGCAGATGAATTGTTGTACAACTATTTATTAATGACTTGTTATCCTGGTTTGCAGCACATCTGGACCCAACTACAAACTGATTATTATTTTAAATACGTAATTTTTGACATTTTGACTTATGCACAAAACAGAAACGGGCACTGAACAACAACACATTTCTACAATGTACAAGAAAATGAATGAGACATGGAAATGGAACAAAATAATCAAAGTACCTGTGAAAAGACAGCAGAGGTTTCCAGAGTTTATGACTGATGATGATGATCAGGAGTTGGTTTCTGCACCGGGAGAAAAGCTGGCACCTGTGAACTGATTAGCATTTACAACTGCTTAACGTTGCTTAACGACTTATTAACGTATCCACAGAGTCGGACTCGCTGCCGGTCTGGGTGAAGAACTGAAATTAATACAAATGTACAGAGAATGTGAAATGATGGTGGTCAGAACTGTTTCCATGACATGTTGAGGCGAAGACGTTTCCACTGTGTTTAATTCTAATGTGGTGGTGAAGCAGCAGTAAGAACTTCAGAGCAGTCCTCAGGTGAAAGGGTAGAAATGTCAGCATGACGTGAACACAAGGTCGACAGTTCCTCAGTCGCCGGCAGCTGTGAATGTTAATCAGAGGTTCGTTAGTAACACAGGTTCATGCTCTTCACAGGAGACAGAATAAATGTGAAGATTAACAACAAAATTTAAACAAAAAACAGACGAATCCACCCAATTGAAATTGATTTAAAATGTAAAAGATTTGAACAAATTAAAATATGTACAGAGAACACAAAAATATTCAAATACTTAAAACAGAAAAGAAGCGATGAAGAATAAAAATGATAGAATAAAGCATTCACATATAAATATTGTACCACGAGTGAATACTGGCTGAAAAACATGTTAATCTGGATAAAAAAGCATCACAAATGATCCATCAGGTCTGCAGACTTACACACAGCCCAGATGTGCTGCAGCTGTTTTCCACATCAGGTAACAGTGGCGAGATCTCCCTGTCTCCACAACCTGGCAACCCAGATGTTGATCAATGAAGCTTTGGCCAATCAATCGATTAGTTCCAGCTAATAAAGCCTTTGTAAATGGAGCTGTAGGTGGAAGATGATGAACATGGTGATCACTGTTTCCTCCTCTTCACCTTCGCTGCTCCGTGGGCTGTGTTGCTCAGACATTGGAAGATGTCATTTGGACATTTTTCACTCTCTTATAGACCAGGACAAGAATCAATTGTTCAGAACATGATCAGCAGATTAAAGTGCAGTAAGGACAGGAACAGGGTGTGGTTTTGTCTCTGAGGAGGGTCGGGATCAAATGGAGATCTCAGCTCCATCCTTTCTTTTCTGCCAGTGGACCAGCAAACAAGCTGTGGCCCACAGGGAGGTGTTCAGGTGTTGGCGGTTTGTTAGAGACGTCTGAACTCCGTGCTGCTTGTGTGGAGCTCGTGTGTTTTAATGAAGTGACCGCAGCATTTTGATGCCAAGCAGCAGGGAGACGCAGATACTGATATTTAGACAATAACATCTAACACCGACAACAGGAGCTTTCAGTTGATTCCAGTGGAGATGCTTTCCCTGGATTGGCAAACATCAGGTGAACTTCAGGGAAACATCTGCCAGGCTGGACTTTACCTGCAACAAGCTGCTCTGTTGCAGCTGAGAGTCCAGACCCGGGGCTGGAGACCTGAAACAGTCGCCACACAGACAGAACTGGGTGTGACCTTCAGGGACTGGCCTGCTGTTCAGGGGGGCGCTGGCTTTCTCCTCCAGGTGCTCCCTGGTGGGCGGGCTTGTGATGACACTAGCTTTGTGTTAATGTTTTTCAGTGTGAGCCTCATTAGTGCAGCTGTGCGTTTGTCTCTGTGGAGCTGAGCTGTGAAACGGGTCGTCCCCGCCGTCACTACACACTGTCGTCAGTGTGAAAACAGTGCGACTAAACAATCGGTGGCACTGTGATTAACAGTGACATCAGTCTGAACACGGCTGATGAAAGAGACCACCTGACACGTGCACGGCCTGTGTGTCAACCTGTGGGTTTAAATCACAACACTGTCGCCTTCCAAACAACAGATGTGACGAGTCACATAAAACCTCATTGTTACAAGAACTGGAAAAAGTTTTAGCAGAAAAATGGATGTGTGCATGTCTCAGTTGAAATGTTTCTATAGGTTTGATTCTGGTTTATTAGCTGCTCCCAGTGAATGTACACACAGCTCCCTGATCAGTTTGCAGAGCGTGGACGCAAAGACAGAAGCTCTGTAAACATTTCATTACTGTACACAGACGTAGGTGGAGAAGCAGGCGCCCTCATTGTGTATGTGAAGCAACAACGGTGTTTTATGTCCAAGTCAAACAGTCTGTGTAAAGTGTAAACAAGTTCACACTAGTGCAGATAATGCAGGAGTAAACACTGAACGGCTGATGTCACAGATTACTGTGTGTGTCTATAAACGGCCCACTCACAGGCTTGGGTTTCTGTTTGGCCGTGTTCTGTAAAACGCCACTTCTCATTCGTGGCTCAAACTGATGTAGCACTTCATCAGGTTCAGTATTAACAAATGAAGATGTTTATGCTCCTGACGTGTTGGAGCTTGAGCTGTTTGATTGACACAAAAAATCCTTATTTCCATGTGAACGGGTTCTGTTCTGCTGAGAGAATGATCAGACGCATGGTGTGAGCTGAGCTGCTGTGCAACAGCAGCTAATTTGGTGTCATATCAGCACGTGTAAATGTGAATTAGTGCAACATAATAAATGATCTATGAACTAATCCTAGAAAGCCAAAGTCATTGGATCATTTTTTTAATGTAACGGGCACATGATACATCTGCATTAACTGATGCATGGAATCACCAGGTCTCCTGCATTAGTATTTCCATTTCCATATTTCCATATGCGCTTTGTACCCTAAGCCTTCTCTCTATTACTGCGGGTAACATGTCTTCAGACTTTGGTGTAACGGTGCCTGAATTCATCTCTTAGTCTTTGGCTTGTATTAGCTCACGTCTTTGTTCACTGTTGCTGCAAAACAAATAACATTTGATATGTTTTGGAAAAAAGTAAAGAACGTAATTGGCAATTCCTCACAAAGTGCACAAAATATGCAAAAGCCGATTGAGACCCACAACGCTCCCCATCTGCCATCTCCTGTGAGGTTTAGTGGCTGTTTTCAGGTGATGGTCTCACAGGGCTAGAGGCTTTCCTCTTGTCCTCTAAAGGAATAAATGAGCATTTTGCTGAGTACACATTTGGTTGTATGTTTTGACATATTAAACAGATGTGGAACAAAAACTGTCAAACATGTTTTTAAAATGTTAAAAACAATTTTCTGCTCCTCCTCAGGTTTTTCAGGGGCGACTACACGGTGGAGGTGGCAATCAATGACTACCTGGACATCTACTGCCCGCACTATGAGGAGGAGCAACCGGCTGAGCACATGGAGCACTACGTGTTGTACATGGTGAACTATGATGGCTACACCACCTGTGACCACCACAGGAAGGGCTTCAAACGCTGGGAGTGCAACCGGCCGCTGAGCCCTGGCGGCCCACTCAAGTTCTCTGAGAAGTTCCAGCTGTTCACACCATTCAGCCTGGGATTCGAGTTCCGGCCAGGCCACGAGTACTATTATATCTGTGAGTAGTGCTGAGTATTACTACATCTATGAACCTGCTGCACATCTGATGGGAGCACTGGAACCTAATGAAGAGATCTCAGGTCTGTTCAGACAACTTCCGAGGAATGAAGCCAACACAAAAGTGTTTAAACCTGCAGTTCCTCGAACGGCCACTAGAGGCTGGCTCCAAAGGAGAGTCAGTCCCCCCCTCCCCCGTTAAAGTGCCCACCATTACAGCTGAAATATTCATGTTTACAGCCTGCCACAAAAAATGCTTTTGGTCTCCATGGCTCTTTTCCCCTTCCATAACAACTGTATGGGGTGAAGTATTACCCGTTTTTCACCCGTTTAACATACTGAGACTAAATGTTATGCATAATTAAGCATGGGGCTGCTTTGAATGACAGGCGGGACAGTCCCACCATAAGTGGCTGCTAGCTGCATTAGCACTGTATCTATGGTGCTAATGTGTGAGTCCCAAAGAGGTGGATAATGCACCAACCAGCACAGAACGTGCAGCACGAGAACCTGGTTTCTCTGTGGTGGGTGACCACACCATTAGTCAGTCCATCATGTGACTCGTACTAAGAACAGATCAACAAGTTGTAGATAGACACCCGTTTCTGTCCAAAGTTTGTTAGCAAGTCTGATAAGAGCCAAAAGGCTAAGGTCACTGTAAATGAAGCAGATGTCCTGGTCAGCAGAGGCAGTAAACACAACACCAACCTGCTGTGGGCTCTGCTGTGTTCAGCTGAAGCAGATATTTAGTTAACAGTCACATTAACACTGACAAGCAGGACTATGGCTACATGCTGCAGCTCCTGTAGCAGAGCTGTTAGATCAGCTCCAACACACAGCCATGAACATGCAAAGCTGCACCAGACTTCCTGTCTGTCAGCAGAGTAAAGTCATGGCTGTTGGCTCAGATAGTCTGTGTTTCACTGAGCGTGCTCAGTTCCCTGTGACCTCTGACCTTCCATCTCACACTACAGAGCCATGAGGCCTCCCACAGCTGCTTTCTGTATTTTTACTGTGTTGGAAACAGACGACCTCCCATGTTCCCTGAGGAGGAATACCCACCCCAGCACAGCGGTGTGGCTCACGGGGGGTGGGGGGTTCTAATAGTTGTTGGGCAACAGTGGAGGTCAATGGGACAGAGCAATGAGCTGGACCATGGTTTTGACTCACATCACGGTGAGGACGCCACGTTCACTGGTGCTGCTGGGGACGGGCTTGGTGGGGAATCACACAGAGAAAATCACCAGCTGTGTCCTTTAGCAGATGGACCATAGTGTGTGTCTGTGTTTTTTTTTTTTTCAGAGACTTCATTTTTTCCAAACGTCATTTATTTTCAGATACTACTTAGACTGTCAGGGGCATTTTGCCGATATCTTTCAGGATGTTTTGTAATAGTGAGTATTGAAGCAGCTGTAGTGCGACTCAGTCATTGTCAGTCTGAAAAGAGGGTTAAAACACACACACACCTGTCATCGTGTTCTGTGTGTCTGTCCAGATGTAATTTGTCCTCTAACCTGGAAAACAGTTTGTAGAATGTGGCTCATTTGGACTGCGAGTTTTCCAGCAGAGAAACAACCGCTTTGTTTTAAATCACACTTAATGACAAGGTGTGTGTGTGTGCGCGCTGAATGCTGACATCTCTGCAGGGTGCAGGCCTATTTTGAGTTTTAGCCGGTGAGAAACCACAGGGAACTACAGCGTTAATGCTTCATATTTCAATCAGTTTTGTTTCAGACGTCTGATGGTTATGATGTAGTGCAGCACAGCGAAGCACAGCTGTGCCTGGTCTGACTGTTATTGTCTGCTAATGTTACATGTGAACAACATCCACTGTGCTGTGAAGGGGTTTTCCATTGTCCTGGTTGTATCAGAGGGGACTTCAGACGGTTATAGAACGTGTTTAAGCCACTGGATCGACCGTGTCCTTGGAGGACACACAGTATTAAGAGTGCGACCAATCAGCTTCAGTTATTGATGGGATCAGCCTGAGCTCAGGTGCCATCACTGCTGCACACCTCACTGACATGTGTTTGTCTCCTCTGCAGCGTCTCCACACCTGAACCTGGCTGGGAAGCCCTGTCTGAAGCTCAAAATCTACGTCAAACCAACCAGTGAGTCTCTTCTTTGTCTTCTTCTTCGCTCCTGTCTGGTCAGCCGTACGCTCGTCAGTGACGTCAGCCACCTAAACTCGGGTTCACTGCTGTGTCACTACTACAGCCAGCGTATTCTCCGCCCAGGGCATCAAACACTGACGCGCTGTCAAGTGGCCTCTGGTGTGTATGTGAGGGGGAAGAGTGTCGACCCGCCACCAGAGGTGCTTCACAAACCATCAGTAAACACCTGGGCTTCACGCAGTAAAACCTGGTTGGGTGTCACGTGTTGTTCATATGCAGCCGCCAGGTTATGCTCGATACCCTGACCCCGCTACCGCTCTCTGGCGGTGTGTCCCACGCTTCTAGCCGCCAGGTTACGCTCGATACCCTGACCCTGCTATCGCTCTCTGGCGGTGTGTCCCACGCTTCCTACACTGTTGTGTGTTGAACTGTGGGTGGAAGCTGTGCGATTTTTCTGGCTCTGTAAACACGCGTTGCCTCTCTACACGTGCTGTTGGTCATCTAGACGTAAAGTGAAGCTGTCGATGTTTGTTGAGTCTAGTATTCATGAAAACGTTGTCAATGTGTGTATTTACAGTGGTGTGAAAAAGTGTTTGCCCCCTTACTGATTTCTTATCTTTTTGCATGTTTGTCACACTGTAATGTTTCAGATCGTCAAACAAATTTATATATTAGTCAAAGATAACACAAGTCAACACATCATGCAGTTTTTAAATGAAGGTTTTTATTATTAAGGGAAAACAAAATCCAAAACTATATAGCCCTGTGTGAATAAGTGTTTGCCCCTCTGTCAAAACACTGGTTTATCGCACCTGAGTTCAATTTCTCTAGCCACACCCAGGCCTGATTACTGCCACACCTGTTCGCAATCAAGAAATCACTTAAATAGGACGACTGTCAGGGGCATTTTGCCGATATCTTTCAGGATGTTTTGTAATAGTGAGTATTGAAGCAGCTGTAGTGCGACTCAGTCATTGTCAGTCTGAAAAGAGGGTTAAAGCACACACACACACACCTGTCATCGTGTTCTGTGTGTCTGTCCAGATGTAATTTGTCCTCTAACCTGGAAAACAGTTTGTAGATTGTGGCTCATTTGGACTGCGCGTTTTCCAGCAGAGAAACAACCGCTTTGTTTTAAATCACACTTAATGACAAGGTGTGTGTGTGTGCGCGCTGAATGCTGACATCTCTGCAGGGTGCAGGCCTATTTTGAGTTTTAGCCGGTGAGAAACCACAGGGAACTACAGCGTTAATGCTTCATATTTCAATCAGTTTTGTTTCAGACGTCTGATGGTTATGATGTAGTGCAGCACAGCGAAGCACAGCTGTGCCTGGTCTGACTGTTATTGTCTGCTAATGTTACATGTGAACAACATCCACTGTGCTGTGAAGGGGTTTTCCATTGTCCTGGTTGTATCAGAGGGGACTTCAGATGGTTATAGAACGTGTTTAAGCCACTGGATCGACCGTGTCCTTGGAGGACACACAGTATTAAGAGTGCGACCAATCAGCTTCAGTTATTGATGGGATCAGCCTGAGCTCAGGTGCCATCACTGCTGCACACCTCACTGACATGTGTTTGTCTCCTCTGCAGCGTCTCCACACCTGAACCTGGCTGGGAAGCCCTGTCTGAAGCTCAAAATCTACGTCAAACCAACCAGTGAGTCTCTTCTTTGTCTTCTTCTTCGCTCCTGTCTGGTCAGCCGTACGCTCGTCAGTGACGTCAGCCACCTAAACTCGGGTTCACTGCTGTGTCACTACTACAGCCAGCGTATTCTCCGCCCAGGGCATCAAACACTGACGCGCTGTCAAGTGGCCTCTGGTGTGTATGTGAGGGGGAAGAGTGTCGACCCGCCACCAGAGGTGCTTCACAAACCATCAGTAAACACCTGGGCTTCACGCAGTAAAACCTGGTTGGGTGTCACGTGTTGTTCATATGTAGCCGCCAGGTTACGCTCGATACCCTGACCCTGCTATCGCTCTCTGGCGGTGTGTCCCACGCTTCCTACACTGTTGTGTGTTGAACTGTGGGTGGAAGCTGTGCGATTTTTCTGGCTCTGTAAACACGCGTTGCCTCTCTACACGTGCTGTTGGTCATCTAGACGTAAAGTGAAGCTGTCGATGTTTGTTGAGTCTAGTATTCATGAAAACGTTGTCAATGTGTGTATTTAGATGTCGACAGAAACACAAACTGAGCACCAGCAGTGAAAACAACCTCTTTATGAAGACCTTCACGTTTATTCCTACCTATCTGACTCTGGTCACTGGTGGAACCATGGCTACCACTGATTGAAGAGTCAGATTTCTGATTTCTTACTAAAATCTTCCTTGTGAAATAATGGTGTAAATGTCAGTTTGCAGCAGAGGAAGTGTGAAGACTCTCAGCTGTCACGGTGAAAGTGTTGAGTAGTTTCTCTGCTGGACTCAGCTGCACCATCCCTTCAGTGTGGCTCAGGCTGGGAATCCTCAGTCAGCCTCGGCACCGGCCAAAGCCGAGCGGTTAGAGATGAGGGCTTGTGGAGTAGAAGATGACGCTGGCGGTCAGTGCAGGTGCTGTTTGTTCTGCAGCTGTCGAACTGTGAAACACAAAATGTGAACGTGTGGAGGAGAAAGAAAATTATTTCCTGACAAGTCTCCCACAGGAGGAAAAGAACAAAAAATATTAGAACCAGATTTACAAAAGACAAGAAGAAGCAGCTTTATTTTATTGTCATTATAACACGCACAATGAAATTTTACCTGGATCTGAGGGCCGAGGGCCGCTGCGTGCACATACGCCTCCATCACGGGCAACTTGGGGGGTTCGGTATCTTTCCCAAGGACACTTTGACATGTAGCACCGAGATTCAAACCTTCAATCTTCTGGTTGGGAGACAACTGCTCCACCCACTGCACCACTGTCACCCTACTGAATAAGGTGATAATTTAATATTAATTAGTGGTGCAGGTTCTCTCAAAATCTCCCATGCCAGCCTAATGCGATCCGTGCGTGTCGGGCGATCTGTGCACACGCATCTACCGACCTGTAAGTACAGTATAAAGAACTGCACACAGGAAACCGGTTTCACACATTTGTCAATCTGGATTCAGTTTGTAGTTTACTGAACACATTCGTGGCCAAATCATTTTTACACATTTGTAAAGCTATTTGTAAATCACCAGAGACATTTGTGGCTGGCTCTGGGAGGATTTAAAGTCAGAGGAGTTTCTGTTCTACAATACTGTCTAATCAAAAAGGTGCCGATGCACAGGGGTAGCGTCCAGGCTCTACCAAAAAGCGGGCAGGTCAGTGTTCTACAGGAAACTGAGTTGCACCCATGATTCACCAAAGTATGGAATGATATGTGCCGAGTATAACGCAGTAACTGTAGTTAAATGGTTTGCTGGTCAGTTGGCGTTCTCGCCAGCAGACCACTGCACTCCACCGTCTCAGAAGCCGATTCACGAATGTTGCAAATGGACTACTAAACATCTGCGGTGTGCATTTTGACTTCTGATACTATGTACGGCTACTGGACACAAGCAAACATGAAGCCTACCTGTGTCTCATGAGGTTTAGATGAAACTTTCTGAGATGATCGGGCGTCTGTGTCTTGTTGTGTTAGTGATGATCAGCTTAGCCGGTGAAACTGCTCTGCAGACTAAATGTTTACCTGTCAACCACATGTCCAGTCTTCACAGCTGCTCCTGATCCTCTCTCTCTCTCTCTCTCTCTCTTTTATAGATGACTCCGTGTATGAGTCTCCAGAGCCCTTCCTGACTGATGACACCACTGGCGGCTGCAGCCTCACCAGGCCCCGCCTCTTTACTTGCCGTCCTCCTCCTCGCCTCCTCATAGCACCTCCTCCCAATGCTTGGAGGGGAAATGACAGACCCGAGCCGCCTTTCCTTGACCTTCACCTGGACGCCACTCAACAGCTCAGCCAATCGGAGGATGCCGAAGTCGCTGGTGGGAGGAGCCTGGAACCAAGGTCGCTGCTGGTTCCACCTGAAGCTTCTGTGGTCGTGTCTGTTCTGCAATGATGTTTCCGTCTCAGTCGATCAGATGTGTCAGACTCCATCGACTCCCATGTTAAAGTCGTCCCTGGCTTCAAAGATGTTTTGAACACCATCTGCCTCTTTAGTGCCGCATCAACCTGGTGCTGAACCAAGACACAGAGTTTCAGTATTGATGCCAACATTTCACATTTTCTACTTTCTTAAAATGTATGAAGTGTGGAGCTCAGAGCAGGGCTTTGACACGTTTTAGCAGTTTACTACAGACGAGCTGTGACCAAACGATGTTAGACACACGGTGGTTTGCAATTAAAATCTCTTTCTGGGTTTTGTATAAATGCAGACAACATGTATGTTCAAGATCCAGAGCAAGATGTTACTTTCTAAAGCCTGTCTCTGTGTGTGTGCAAAAAGTATCTCATTATTTGTACACAGTCCTCAAACTGGAGTTTTTCATCTGGTGCCCACAATAAATGACCCTGTTGTCTAACATTTGACGGCCTTGCACTAACCTGAATCTAAACAGCCAGAAATCCTCCCCTTACAAGTCCCACTACAGTACAACACCATGATGCTGTGGAGAAGGGGTTTGGGTTTTTTCACCCTCTTCCAGGCAGTGTTCGTTTCCCTTCATGTCAAAACGGTGTGTTTAATGCCACGTGTTAATGGAGGAAGTCGAGGCCTGGAGAAGCAGAGGGAAAGGTCCCTGGTGGGCTCATTGATTCTATGCACATGAAAATATGAGGAAAAACTAAATTACACTGTGAAATCAAGTGAAGCTCTAAAACCAAAATTAAAGCCATATTTAAAATGTATAAATTGTGTGCATCAGATGACACAATCACAAATCTAATTCCTAGCGCTGCAACTTGTCTAAACCACCCTGCACAAGATGCACACATCTGTCCTCGTCCTGGGCCTCACAGTTGGACTAAGTATAAATAATTTGGCGTTAATCAGCTAAAACGTGTCAACAAACAGCTGCGGTCCTTTAGTACGAGCTCTGATAACAGGACAAAGTTAGCAAACCCATTATTTAAATCAGGGTTAAAAAGAGACCAAGTATCATACAGTCAGGGAGATTACCAGGCGACCACGTCACATTACAGGGTGTGGGGCTCTGCTGCTGACAGACGCGATGTTTACCAGCTACTGGAACCAGGTGTGTGCGGTGTGGACTCACCTGAGCAGAGCGTGATACGTGGCAGTTGATGGAGTCCAGCTCTGGTCGGTTTCTCTGCAGAGGAATGATACAGAAACACATCAGCTGACTGTATCAGCTCTCACATCATCATCCCCCACCTGCACGCACAAGAGCAGACAGACTAAGTGAGCGCCCTGCAGAGCATCACCACGTCTCCCATCCAGGAAACAGCCATGTACCTGTCCACTGGTGATTACAGCGACCGAAACCAGCCACAGCTGTCACAATAAAACCCATCAATCAAGCCTCACTCACTGGTTTTCAAACTAGTCAGCCCTGGGATGGAAATTGGTTGAACAACTACCAAGTTGTAAGTCAGTTTCAACCTGTAACACCTGTATTAGATGGTTTTTTCATCCGAGCTCATCCTCTGATCGGTCGGTCCTGGACCGGCCATAGCGGACTGACTGTATTTTCATCTCAACTCTGATTACCTTCATTAGCAACCTGTACATCCAGCACGGCATAAGCTAATGTAGCTTTATAGACCAGCTGGGCCAGTAAAGGCTGCTCGTCAGACTCACAGGACGAGCGAATGTACACACACAAACCCATGGGACAAGCTAACGTAACCTCTCTTACCGTCAGGAGAAGCTAATGTATACATACAAACCTACAGGAGAAGCTAACATACGTAGCTTCGCAGACAGAATGAGCTAATGTTCCTTCTCACAAAGTCAGGACGAGCTAACATATGCACACCAACCCATGGGACAAGCTAACCTACAGTAGATGAGCTAGCATTAGCAATTGGTAAACTGTCACAGTAAGTGAACTGTGTTGAACATGTCATCTGACAGGTTCACTCTGATGTAAAAATGAATGACTGTTCACCCCTAATCGGGAACAGTCAACACATTGTGGCCAGTGACGTGCGGTGAGGTTGACAGCTGGTGAGGCACTGTCAGATTTACAAATACAAATGAACCGTTAACAAATTGTTAACAGACAATGCGTTATGTTTTATATCTCATATCAGCATTCTTCACACAAACGTGACCCATATTTAATTTGAGGTTAAAATTTATTCCAATTGAGCTTATTTCTAACTAGAAATAATAAAAGTTTATGGTCTTACCATTACTTGTACACGAAATCCATTTGTCAGCTGATATGTATTACAAACCCTTTTACCGTTCGAATCCAATATTAAAACAAATGTTTTCAATAAAGAAGATCCTTCTGGACAAAAATGACCAGACTGTCAAAAATGTTTTGATTGAAAGTCGGGATTTGCGAATTTTCTCAACTTGGAAATGTAATCTTCCATTTTGATAAGGCGGATTGTAAAGGAAATATAAACAAGCACGAAGAAGATTGTAGGTAGCGCAAGAATCTGTGGGCTCACTAGCGCCCTCTGCAGAGGACCTCTATTTGCGACATATAGACGGACAGCGACACACTATTTGCATTGCATACAGTTTGTGAGGATTACACGATCCACCGAGAGGCACAGCAAAGTGCTGCCTCATCGCGCATCTCCTCCATGTATTTGAACCAGACATACAGGAATTCTGCTATTCTTTATTGAAAAAAATTCTTTCAACATCAGATTTGAACGGCAAAGGGGCCTACAACACACACCAGCCGACAATTATTAACATTTATTATATTTTACGGTTAACTTTTTTTTCTTTTCAAGATTGACAGGGGAGGCTCTGACATCACTCAAATTTACAAATCAATCGGATTAGGCTGTTTCTCTCTCTCTCTGTTTCCCCATGTTTCTCGCCTACGTCCTGCCTCTCATTTCTATAAATCTGCCAAAGAGTCTTGTTAAACTTTTCTATTAGACGCTTCTCTAGGGGCGTGGGTGGGTGGGGGGCTGTGGAAGTCATACAGACGCTACAAGGGCAGGTAAATATAGCCTCACCCACTTTTAATACAGGGGCGTGGTTACCAAGAGGAGGAGGGGGCGTTTTTTCTAAATCATTTTGTTGTAAAGATAAAAATGAATGTTACGTGCAAAATCAAAATGAACAATCAAAAATGGCCTTTTTCCCACTGGTGCTGAATTTTTACTGACCGAGGAACAGCGACACCGTGTGGTCGAGGTCAAGACCTTCCAGTCCCATATGTTTTTTGTTTTTTTTTAATCTGCCATACTACCCATCCATCTCCACTGACGAAGGGGAGCGTGTCCTTGTGTGTGGATGAGCAGGGGCATGCTGGGAAAAGTCTAACAAACGCACTGTGATGGAGGACAGGCGGATGATGTAGCACTCAGAATGACAGAAACAAACAAAAAGAAAAAAATTCTAGTTTTTCGTTTAATGTTTGTGCCATTTCTCAGTTTTAAAAAACGCAGGAGCAAATTCATATGAGTTGTGAAGGAATCCGTCTGATGTTTGTTGTTGTTGTTTCTCCATTCTGTTCCTGCTCGCATCACATTGCATTCTGGTCCTTGTAGTCCACTGTGTTCAAGTGCAGTTGATGAATAATCGTTTGCTGGCTTTCGTCATCTCCTTCTTCATTGATTTTTGTGGTTGGAATCAGCTTTTTGTGGAGTAACAAACAAAAGTTTTGGTGGTTCTCCTCGCTGTGTCTGCTTTATGGCATCTCTGAGTTCAATCATCAGGCAAAGATGAGGGTTTTCTACAGCACAACATCTGCATAGTCTCCTCTTTGAAAGACAAAAATTAGGTTTGTATATTTTCTTATTGGATGCTTATGGAGTCTTGTTGTAAAGAATTCATTTTTCTGATTGGCTGTAGAGCTGACAAGGGGTCAGAGGTCATCAGGCCTTTTCAGGACCCCTTTCCTGCGCCGCATGAGCAGGAAAAGTAAAAAATATTTAGTGGATTTACTTTGAAGAAGATTTCAGAGAGGAAACGTTATGAAGTGTATGAATCTGTGTTTGATAAATTCACCACCAATAAAATAATGTCCCACTAAAAAGTATTTGTCCCGTTTGTTCCAGTTCATCAACATGGTTTGACTTCGGGCACTGTTGTTGTTGCCGTGATTAAAGTTAGAATTCACTTTAGTGAATTTAGTTAGATATTACTTTCAGGTACTTGTACTATGAGTATATCCATGTTCTGATACATTACGCTTCTGCTGCTGCATAGTTGACCTGCAGCACTACAAGTTTTATTGTAGATATACCACAATATTTAAATGTAACACATATAAAATGGTTCACTTATAACTTTATGTATACAACTTATAATTTTAAGTACTTTACCTACTGCTCGTTAACTTTTTACTGCACTACATGTACCTGATAACTTCAGTTCATTTCCAGAATCAGATGAATCAAACCAAACCCAGTAGAATCATCAGACTCTATTGATCCCAGTGGGAAATCCACCAGCTACCCAGCAGGATGGAAAGTACTTCACAGTATAACTATATTAGGTAGTTACCATCAGCTCCACCTTTACCAGCTGCAGCATTAAAGTGATGGACACAGTAACGCATCAGTCACTATGATCCAGTAGTATCATACTACTACTACATAGTAACAGTATCACATTACTGTGACACGGGCTGTTCTGCAGGACGAGTACTGGTACTGCTGATACTACAAGTACATTTGGATACCGATACTTGTGTACTTTTAAGTAAAATTTGGACTGTGGGACTTTTACATGTAAGAGTACTTCTAGACAGTGGTGTTTCTACTTTTACTGCAGTGAAGTGCTGGAGTACTTCTTCCACTGCTGAGACTTGTCTCATTAAAACCACCTGAAATGGCAGCACTGCAGCGACTGAGTAAGAGGAGGCGAGTCTGCAGAGTGAAAGCTTCAGACAGAGTCGCGCTGACACCTGCTGCCTGCTCCCTCACACTGCAACCCCACCTCACCACCCCATGTCTCCGTCCGGCCTTGGCTGATCTAACGGCAGCACATTTTACAGCGTTCAAGTCAAGTAAGCACAGAACACCACTGGACTAGTTCCCCTTTTTGCCCTGAGAGCTGCGTCACCTACACGTCACGACTTCCTGCTGCAGTTTCACAGTATCTAGTCAAACTACTTGCATTTCACCTGTCAGGTCTCATTTACAGCCTGCACACTCTGAAGCCTACACGAGAGAACGGGTTCCGGGGCCCCCAGCCAGGGGTTTGCATGAAGTGACTGTTAAAGTGTGTTGTAGGCAGGTCAGTCACATGGCTACAGAGAGACACAAAGTGAGGAAAAGAAACAAAACAGCCACAAAGACATGCAAAACAAATACAAAGTGACACAGACGATGACATGCAAAATGGCCTCAGACAAAAAAAAAAACAAGTGAAACCACAGAGACACAAAGCACCTGGAGTAAAACTAAAGAGCCAAAGAATTGAAACTAAAAGTGACTGCAAAGTGACACAAAACAACAAAATGTAAGCACAGAACAACTAAAAGGGACAAGAAATACCATAGCCTCACTCCCCTGTAGGCGAGGTGGGGGCCTAACACACGGGGGAGAAGTAAGTTTATGCAAGTTTGAAGAATTACACTTCAAACTTGCATAAACTTTCGCTTTCGTTTTCCCAAGTCTTACTAACGTCACCCCGATGATAAACCCGCCTTCAGCAGGCGGAGCAGATCAGACAGGAAGGCGACGATTACAGAGGAGACATCAAGTCAGTAAGAGAAGAGGCTGCAGTATCCCAGACATGTTCAGCAAACAGAGTGTTCGGTGTAAGTACGAAGTCAAGTGACTTTTCTTTGTTTAAAGAATGTGACTTAGTAATTATCCATTTAAAGCTGGGCTTTATGGTGGTTTGTCCTGAACAGCCAGACAAAGACCCACCACGCAGAGAGGAAGAAACAACATGCCCCGGCAGCCACCAAGACGGGACCAGCTCCGACAGACAAGAGGTAACAAAACCGTGTGCGGTAGCTACAACTGGACACGGTATCGCCACAAGGCACTGGTTCAGTCCTGTGAATTTTGCTCAACAGTGATAGGTGGACTCAAAATTGCAGGGGCGTCACATGGTCATCCCACACCCTTTCATGAAACGGTTCAGCCCCCAGTGAGTCACAGACACTTGCACCACCTGGATAATCCGACAGGTCTGAGACTCAGGCAGTTTCGGGTCACGTGTACATCTCCTGTAACTTAGAGGTGAACTAGGCTTCCTGGAAAAACCACCACCACCCACCGTTATTAATGTGCCTGACTGAAACCTGGCCATGCCCCCTAATAGTCTACATATGTGACATCTGGAAGATGGAGGGAGCCAGAAAGAGTTGGGTGGATTGTGTGGGAGCATTTTGACATGGTGCAGCATAATTTAGTGAAATGCACCTCTCATGACCAGGACCTGGCGTGTGGCAACAGCACATCATCAGCCCTACCTGCTCAGCATCCTGAAAATTTTAATAAAGGGCAAAGATAGTAAGGCCTTTTAACATTATATACACCGATTCGGCATAACATTATGACCACCTGTACATCTGTATGCACTTCAATGCAACACTTCCGCCTTAACATCAATGTGTATGAAGCTCAAAATGTTTCTGTTTTTAGTGAGATTATCATAAATGTATAAATTCAATTACCTGTTCATTATTGAGGTCATAGTGAAAGGTGGTGTTGTACTGGACTACATTATATTCAGAGGTGTTCCTTATATTCTGACCCTCTCATGTATGTCAATGGGCAGGACAAAGCCATACAGATATTTTCAGATATCTGGAATTTAAATTACAGATGAGTAGAACTGAACTGTAGATATCTTAAGTTAGTTTTCCCATTCAAGTCATGGAGGACTTCTTCCTAGTCAAAATGTAATTGCAGATATCTTAAATTATAGTTTGGACTATATTCATATTGTTCTGAAGTATTGCATATTTTTATTGTCAGTCCAAGCCCACTGCCCGTAACCGGCCTCTGCCCCACTGTGATCCAGCCTTGGATTCTACTTCCTCTTTTCTAGAAAACTAAACCATCTGAACACATAACAAAAATACAAGAAAAAGTAAAAACACTATCCTTTAACATGCCAAATTAAATCCTGAACTTTGAATCTGTTTCCTTCCACAGCTGGGAGCCAGAAAACACATGAAGAACGCCTGTTGAAGATGATTGTATCAGTTCTGCAGCCTTTGGAAATCACAGAAGATGCAAACTTTCAGGATTTTATAAAAAACCTAAACAACACTTTTCAAATTCCCACCAAACCTGGCATGCACTCACTGCTTCTCCGCATTTACCAGGAAAAGGAAGAAGAGTTGCGTTGCACCTTGGCCACTGCTGATGACATTGTACTGACATGCGAGTTGTGGTCGTCAAGACCTGAAGACTCCCATCTGACAGTAGGCTGTCATTTCGTGAACAACTTGGGGTATCTCAAGTCTCACATGCTCAAAACTATCAACCTCTTTGGAGATGAGTCTGCAGCCAATGTTCGCACTCAACTCTTATCTGTAATGGAGGCTTGGGGCGTGAAAGAGAAGGTCCACAGTGTTGTCAGAGCTGGCATGCCTAAACTGGAAAACATCAAATGGACAGACATGCCTTGTTTTGCCGACACCCTGAATGTGATATTTAAGAATCTGATGAAAGATGACGAGCTGTCAAATGTGCTCAGAAAGTGCCAGAACATCATCAGGTTCTTCAAGTACAATTTTGAAGCTGAGAGGAGTTTCAGAGAGACTCAACGCAAGCTGGGGAAGAACCAAGAAGAGCTGATCATGTACTACGGGGAGCAGTGGCTCCCCTGGCTGCACATGCTTCAAGGACTGCACAGTCAGTACGAGACCATGGTGATGGTGCTCAACAAAAACGGCAAGACTGGTTTAATTCTGAACGAAAAAGATAAGGAGAAAATCAAGAATCTCATATCAGCTCTGAACCCTCTGGAGAAGGCCATGTCCATGATGAAACGAGAAGGATTCGAGACCATCTCGGTCATGCTGCCGCTGCTGAAGGCGCTCATGGACAAACTCAGAGAAGAAGAGGGAAGAAACAATGACATTGCCAAGACATTACTGCACAAATGCAAAAGGGAATTTGGTAACATCGACAACCATCAGCTGGCCACCAACACATTTCTCGACCCAAGACACAAAAATAAGCTGGGAGAACAAAACAAAAAAAAAGCCATATCTAAAATAACACAGGAGCTCTTAAGGAACTTCACTCCTGCCAAGATCAAAGGCATCCTGGCCCGATACGAAGCCGAGCGCAATACTTCAGAGTCAGCAAACCCTTTTGCCTGGTGGAGGTACACAGGAAATGCTCGTTTTGGTGAATTAAGAAAACTTGCTCTGAAGAAACTTGGGGTGGTCTCCACTGCTGTGCCCTTAGAGAGAGCCTTTTCCATTGCAGGTGATCGGTTCTGCAACCTCAGGAGCTCCATTGAACCAGAGAACCTCAACATGATCCTGTTCCTCAACAGCAACTGGTCTTCAGAGTGCTAGATAGATATATATACTTTATTACAGACTCAGGGTCCAAAGAGGTACAGTACGCTCTAAAGCCAATTTTACTCCAACCGAGCACAAACCAAAGTTCCAAGCCAATACCTTAGCTTGTACATACAACATACGGCACTGCCGATACATATCCCCATCACAATCATTTATAACATGACCCAAATACTTAACTTCATTACACAATTAAAATACTACCAGATAGCTTAAAAAAAGGGAATACAAGGGACCTGTCCTCTTTTGTGCAGCATATCATAATAACACTTTTTTTAGCATTATACTTGACATCATGATGATC